CATTATGTAAGGTGCGTGTATTTGCGCACATTAGTTCTAGCAAATGACTGCAAAATAGTAGATGCGTGAGAAAAGTACTCGCCCAGGCATCACCGTTCCTTGTCTTTCGTGCAATCCTGTGTCTCCGTTCACCTTTTTGAGATCCTTCACTCGAAACCTATATTATCAGTTATCATCGCTATTGTCGATATTGATTTTGTGGCATGACGAAAATCTAGCTATAGTCGTCCTCATCCCACCAGACGCCCAATCAGATAATCGCCGGGGGCAGGCGGCCATGCGTTTTTGAGCAAGCGGGCACCGGAAAAATAGTTCGCTGATTTCTTGCGGTTCGCTTGCAGAAATTTGAAATATTAGATTGGTGCAAAAATAATGCGCGTTTTGCGAGTTCTCACTTTGACATGCTATAACTTTCTAAAAAATCTATATTTTTCAACGCGGTAAAAAACATCAAAGGTACCAAACCTTTCGCAATACAACGCACATCTCCATATACTCATATCACCAATGGACAGAAAAATATGGATTGATAAGTAGGTAAAGTTTTTTTCTAAAACCTCGTTTTCAACTGGTCATAACTCCCTTCAAAATTTGTTAATGTAAATGATAGGTAGCCTACCTTGTAGCCGTAAGTCAACAGTACAAAAAAAGCCGGAAAAGTCTCGGACGAAAAAAGTTTGCAGAAAGAAAAAAATTAAAATCCAAAATTGTCCACTTTTTTGGACATTTTTTCGCAAGCCTAAAAATCCCTAAATATGGGGTTTTGTTGATTTTCTGCGTAATGAACAGCTACACAATTCTGTAAAAACTGCCAGTAGGAGGCCCACCTTTACGCTTACAGAAATGAGCAAAGCTTTGGCGATTGCCCTGTTCAGAGGAAATTTATGGGACACAGAATGACCAAAAAGGCTGCGCATGTTGAGACGCGTAAATCTCAGTCTAGGTAATTTCTGAGAAAATAGTAAAATGTGCATAATGTAGAGAATTTCCATTAAAGTAGCTAGAGTTTCAAAAGTTTGTCTTTATTCGGGCTTGATCTCTAGCCAGAAAAGTAGATGCAATAAAATTCTGGTTTCGAGTGCGGTTGTGTGAAACTCTATTATTTTTTAACTAATGAAGCTGGAAGCTCGTTTCAACAACCATTGGGTAGAGGATGAAAAGAGCTTCTTGGTAGCATGCTAAGTTTTTCCAAAGAGAAAAGTTTGATGGAGAAAAGCTGTTCTAAAACAAGGGCTAGAAAAACGCGCATTACTTTTGCACCAACCTAATAATTTTGGCCAATTTTTAGACGAACGCTCGGAAATTATCGCGGTCTTTCTATGGATAAGCTGCAGCCCAGTGGCCGAATTCTCGCGGACTTTCCGGCAAAATTGTTGGCCACGGCCAGGTAAGACTCTACTCTGTGTGGCAAAGGTGTCACCGTTGGTTGGTCCTTTGTGAAGGAACGCATGCCCATGGTGCCTTCCGCTGGAAGAAGGTACCCCAGACTCCGGTAATTCAACCAACGGTGACACCTTTGCCACACAGAGTAGAGTCTTACCTGTGCTCGACGTATGCCCGAATCTGCGTAAAAAGTGTCCGAGCGCTTGCTGAAAGTTTGGCCAGCGCTCGCTGAAAGAAATTATTTGCCGAGCGCTTGCAGAAAATGCTGTATTGCCGCCCGCTGAAGGTTTGGCCACGCCCCAAAAGTCTGTTGACCGCTTGCAGAAAAGCACGGTTTGCGGTCCGCCTGCCTCCGGCAATTATCTGAGCAAGACCTTACTCCAAAGTGGGCGGCTTGCACGCCGGCTTTAGGATTTTTGCTTATTTTCTTTAAAAGCAGTGTTTGGAGAGGAGGTTTGCGCAGCACTCAGATAATCGCCGGGGGCAAGCGGCCATGCGAATTTTGAGCAAGCGGGCACCGGAAAAATAGTTCGTTGATTTTTTGCGGCCCGCTTGCAGAAATTTGGAAGAAAGTTGGCGAAATTAAAGACGAATGCTTGAAGAACAATCGCGGTTTCTTTATGGATTAGCTGCGGCGCAGTGGCCGCATTCTCGCGGATTTTCCGCGAGAACATGCAAAATTATTGAGAGCCGCACGGTCCTTTTTGAAGGACCGCACAGCCCTCAGGTACTTTCCGCTGGAAGAAAGTACCCCAAACTTGGGTAATAAAACCATCAATGGCACCTCTGCCACATAGAGTCTCATCTTTTCTCGGCGTAGGCCCGAAACTGCGTAAAAAGAGTCTGAGCGCCTGCTGAAAGTTTGGCCAGCGCTCGCTGAAAGAGATTGTTTGACGAGCGCTTGCAGAAAATTTTGTATTGATGCCCGCTTGCAGAAAACGCAAATACCGCCCGCTGAAGATTTGGCCACGCCCCGAAATCCTGCTGACCGCCTGCAGAAAAGCGCGAGTTTGCGGACCGCCTGCCCCGGCGATTATCTGAGCAGTGGTTCGAGGCAGTGGTTAATTGTGATAATAACCGACAAAATTTGGGTTTGTCTGACTCTGCCTTATAACAAAAGAAAATGATCGCCTTTTTAAGCAAGTTTCAATTCACCCTAGATTCAACATGAATACAAGCCTCAGAACTCAGCTTCTGAAGTCTTACGATGAAGTAAGCACATGGTATCAAGAAGTTCTTAAGAGTTTGTATTCAATAAGAAAGTAAGCAAGTTAAGGGTTCATTTCGTATACGCAAGCTTCATTCCACCAAAATTATTGTTTTCGCCATTGCAAGACCTTCACTTAGTTTCTAGCCTCGTAGCCTCAAGATTAGTTTCGAAAAAAGCAAACACTTCAGCACCAATTTTTTGCGCGAAATAGAAGCTGAGTTTTAAGCCTTGAAGCCGTGCTGACTTTAGGGTAAGATTGGAACTTGGTTGAAAAGCGCGACAACAACGCAGGGATTTTCTGAGACGTTAATAGTTATCTATTGAAAAAGCTTAATTTATTTCATAACTGGTGGAAGGTAATCAGAGAGCTTGAACAGCAGAAAATTGGAGGTTTTTGTACCGCAACTCAGATAATCGCCGGGGCAGGCGGTCCGCAAACTCGCGCTTTTCTGCAGGCGGTCAGCAAAATTTTGGGGCGTGGCCAAACCTTCAGCGGGCGGTACTTCTGCGTTCTGCCAGCGGGCAACAATACAGAATTTTCTGCGAGCGCTTGTCAAATAATATCTTCCAGCGACCGCTGGCAAAACTTTCAGCAAGCGCTCGGACTTTTTTTTAGGTATTTTCGGGCGTACGTCGAGCGCAGGTAAGACTCTGTGTGGCAGAGGTGTCACCGTTGGTTTAATTACTCAAGTTTGAGGTACTTTCTATCAGCGGAAAGTACCTGGAGATTGCGCGGTCCTCCACAAAGGACCGTGCGGCCCTCGGAATTTTTGCATATTCACGCGGAAAGTCCGCGAGAATGCGGCCACTGCGCCGCAGCTAATCCATAAAGAAACCGCGATTGTTCTTTAAAGGCAGTGTCCGGGCAAAAACTCGATTTTGAGATTTTGCGCTTACCTGGGCCTATTCGCTGCGCTGAATCCGAAAATGTACGTTGTAGAGCCGAAAATGGCGAAAAACGGCTCTAACACAGGAGGGAAATCAGCAGGTGGGCGGAGTCCTCCCCATTGCGAATTCACCTTCCCGGCTTCCTTCTCGCTTCCGGTTTCAAGTCAATCATTCGCACTTGACCGGTAGCGATGTTAGGACGGCTAGCGGAATCGAGAAAATCGCTCCGGGAGCTGGGAGCGTGAAATTGCAATGGGGAAAGCCCCGCCCACCTGCTGATTTCCCTCCTGTGTTAGAGCCTTTTTTCGCCGTTTCGGATTCAGCATGGCGAATAGGCCCGTATAAGCACAAAATCTCAAAGAGTTTTTGCCCGGACACTGCCTTTAAGCATTCGTCTTCAATTCCGCCAACTTTCTTCCAAATTTCTGCAAGCGGGCCGCAAAAAATCAACGAACTATTTTTCCGGTGCGCGCTTGCTCAAAATTCGCATGGCCGCCTGCCCCCGGCGGTTATCTGAGAATGACTCCAAAGCATTTTGAGCCATAGGAAAAATAACGCTCCACTTTTTTGATTGCGCTGGTTTCAGTAGCAGATATCTTACAAGGGAAGGATACTTGGTGACCGTAGCTTTTTGCAATGATATGTATACTAGTAGATGAACCTTACACTTACTCCAAATTTATGTTCATTATATGCTGTCGACTGCGAACGGACTTTTTTCCATATTAATTTCACGAGATTTAAGCAGTCAGAATCGTCAGTATTCAGGTTTTTTAGACTCTGATATATTTGAGACGGTTCTTCTGAGCTCAACGTAAAGCTTTATTTTGTTTGGATGCTTTTGTAGTGCGTAAGTAAACATTCTAACGATACTGGTAAATCCTGTTATTATACCAGTGCAAATTTTGGTGGCAATAAATGTTCATAACTTTATTCGGAAGGCGCAGAGCAGAAAACGAAAGCAGATTTGGAATCAGCGCTCCAAGATGCATTTAGTGGTCTACGTCGCATCTGAAAAGGCTTCGGTCAGCAAGTCTCCTTCCCTTGTCAGACCTTGTTACTGTGACTTCACAAAACATTTTGACTTAAAGCTGCTGCTTTGAGTGAAAAAGAGGAGCTTCGCTTATGGTGTTTGTATAATTATGAACCGCTATAGATTCGTATTCGGCGCAAAAAATTACAAGGATCAACATCGATTTTCATTCTTGTGCAGCATATACCGTTTTCGGCTATGCACTTTCACGTAGTAAAAACGATTTTTGAGCTTCTTCCAAAAAATTCCAGAACTCCTAAAATATGGGGTGTTCGTATGTTATAACTATGAACAGCACTTTATTGTAATTTATGGAACGGTTTGATTCAAAAATTTCAGTCGAGATAATTTGCAAGATAAGAACTTTTGGTATCTAACTTTTTTATTTAGAAACAAAGCTCATTTGGTAGTGCACTATGTATTGCTTAGTTTGTGCTGATTGCTTTGCAAAAAGTTTTGATATATTGAAAAAAAAAAGGAAATTTCTCACGCAAGCCATTGACAGGACATTCTATCCACATCTCCTTCAGGATAGAAGCACACATATCGAGTCCCATTAACAGAAGATGGGATCAAAATGCGCGTTGTGTAATTTGACTTTCTTCCATAGTCCACTGCAAATGTCCGTAATAATAAATGAGACTTACATGAATTCGCTGCTTATGTACCTTGGAAGTGAATCCTTTCTAGAGATGCGGTTTTCTTTTTGTTATTGTAGATGTGGCCAAGTATAGTCCCACGCGCTTCCTGGGAAAGGAAAAATACGGCATCTATTTGAGAGCAAATGACTTTGAAAAACCTACATAGAAGGTTACATGCAAAAAGCGATTGCTGTGTTCGTCCATCTGAATAAAGCCTTCAAAATGCTCGAAATAAGAACCATCATAGACGATCTTTGGACGCGTCTCCGTATGTATCGTGAACTGAAACTTTTATAACGAAGCTAACGTATAGAACAGCGACTTGACTTGTTTTCGATGACTGGTGCATTATGTACCAATGACTCATATTTAAGAAACATGGAATCTGCTAAATCTTTGCTTGGGATGGTTATTCAGCCCATTCAATGAAACGTCATATTGACGTATAATAGATCCATTTGACTCCTATACCCGCAGGAGTCAAATAAATCTCAATCAGTGCTCAAAATCGTTCCCTTAAATTTCGTGGAAAACTTGAAATCCCTCAGCTCTTCTTCTGAGCGACACAGAGCGATGGCGTTAGAAAAACAGCCATTCTTGATAAACCAATAAAAGTTTGCAGGTGCATAGCATAGCTTACAGTATTCCGCACTTATTTTTGCCGGATGTTGTTCTAGATGAGGCGGGGCTGAGACAAAAGACTAATTTTGTGATGATTTTGTACACTTACTGTACCTTTTGGAAAAGATCTCCATGCAAAACGGCTTGACGATCCTTAGCGAGTCAAACACAACATTAAGTTCTTGCGAGATTGTGGTTTACACCCCCTGATGCGTACCAGCGGCGGTTTGAAAATCTTGTTGCAAACCACTGCTCGAGCAGTAAGACATATGATTATTCTATAAAGAAATTCAATCATGTGTCCTCTTTGGTCGTACTCGAGAAGAGACAGACGAAGGAGAGTTTACTGAGCGGAGTTCAAAAATTAGATGTATTGACGACAAATGGATCATGAGATGCGCTATGGCTTATTTAGCACTCCCCAATCATTTTGTTATAAGCAGACACAGGTATAACACATTCAGAAATTCGTGACGATGACCTGACTGCGGTCCTTGCGTTTATTCAAACCTCGCAAGAGCGATTAACACAGAACGAGTGATATCATTTTAGTACTTGCTCGGTCATTTTGAGTATCTAGAAGTCATAAGTAAGTCAAAAAGGCTTTGAATATAAATATAAAAGGGAAAAAACGCAGACCCTGAAAAAGAGCGCATGCGGCGCGCGAATCCGCTAGTGACTTTTAAGAGTAGACTAGCTGGCTTGCCCGGCTCCGGTCGGCCCTGTCACAACACTATGATAAGGCTCTCATCCGTATCCTTGTACAACCTTTCCCAGTGCCCACGTCTACATGCCGTTTCCCTATTCCCGCTGTTTTGGTAATTAGATGCTCGATTACCCTCCTCACCCTTGTGCCGAATCCCTCTCACTCAGATAATCGCCGGGGGCAGGCGGTCCGCAAACTCGCGCTTTTCTGCAGGCGGTCAGCAGAATTTTGGGGCGTGGCCAAACCTTCAGCGGGCGGCACTTCCTTTACGGTCGCATATTCTGCCAGCGGGCAGCATTTTTTGCAAGCGCTCGGCAAATAATTTCTTTTAGCGAGCGCTGGCCAAGCTTTCAGCATGCGCTCGGACTCTTTTTAGGCATTTTCGGGCCTACGTCGAGCACAGGTAAGACTCTGTGTGGCAGAGGTGTCAGGCTGGTTTAATTACTCAAGTTTGAGGTATTTTCTCTCAGCGGAAAGTACTTGGGGGTTGCGCGGTCCTCCACAAAGGACCGTGCGGCCCCCGAAATTTTTGCATATTCTTGCGGAAAGTCCGCGAGAATGCGACCACTGCGCCGCAGCTAATCTATAAAGAAACCGCGATTGTTCTTCAAACATTCGTCTTTAATTTCGCCAACTTTCTTCCAAATTTCTGCAAGCGGAACGCAAAAAATCAACGAACTATTTTTCCGGTGCGCGCTTGCTCAAAATTCGCATGGCCGCATGCCCCCGGTGGTTATCTGAGCTGTGTCAACTCCCAGCCCCGTAGATCAAACTTTGCAAAAAATCGATAAAATCGATAAATGTAGTGGGTAATTCTTAAAAACTAATATTGTATTCGTAATCAACATGCTCGAATACCCCCTGTGCCAAATCCCACCCCGTAGATGAACTCTGCAAAAAAGTCGATAAGAATCGATAAAATCGATATCGATCGATGACAAAAAGTGGTCTATGACACCCGCCCGGTCCCGAAGTGTATGTGTGCAAGGTTTGATTCGAATCCGTTTGGAAATAAAAATTTCTATTCGGAACATACGTACATACAGACATACATACATATACAGACAGACAAACAGACATTCAACTTTATATAAGACTAGCTGGCTTACCCGGCTCCGCCGTATGTTACGAATAGAAAATCTCATTTTTGAACCGATCGGGACCAAACTTGGCACACATACACTTCGGGCCCCGGCGGGTGCCACAGTCCACTTTTCGTTATCGATCGATTCGATTCTATCGATTTTTTGCAAAATTTGAGCTAGGGGGCTGGAATTTGGCAGGGGGGTGTAATCGAGCATGCTGATCACCCCCACGGGGGTGATCAGCATGCTCGATTACCCCCCCCCTGTGCCAACTCCCAGCCCTGTAGCTCAAATCTTGCAGAAAATCGATAAAATAAATATCGATCGTTGACGAAAAGTAGCCTATGACACCCGCCGGGGCCCGAAGTGTATGTGTGCCAAGTTTGGTCCCGATCGGTTCAGAAATGGAATTTTCTATTCGGAACTTACGTACAGACAGACAGACAGACATACAGACAGACAGACAAACAGACATTCAGCTTTATATATAAGATTAGATTATTGCACTTTTTTGATACTGTGGTTGGCACACTCGAATTTTCCCTGCCTATGACTTCAGCCGCAATCATTGCATAATTCGTGAGCTTGTTAATGAATAATGCTTATCGACTTATTGGCATTTGCAGTAAATGAGAAGGCTCCAAAAGTAATGCCAAGTGATGTTCACGAGTTTGGGTTGTTTTAGACTGCCGCATTGACCGCAGCAGACTGCATGCAGTCTGCTGCGGTCAATGGCCAGCGGGTTGCAGTCAGCGCGGTCAGCTGCAGTCTGCTGCAGTCTGCTGCGTCAGTGCGGCAGTCTGGAACAACCCTTTGAAAAGTAAATTTTTTCTTACCGTAATGGCTACTCCTTCGCCATGCTCCAGTGTTACTGCTCTATCGTCGTATATAGCTTTACGAACCCATGCATTTGACGACAATCGTCTGCCTGTACATAGTGCAAAATTGTTATCTGTCGAACAAGAAAAGCTCATCATCCCTTACCCAATTTGAGATCAGAAGTTCTTTTTTCCGGTGAAGCAAAATAAGTGGCGTGGAATTGCTCGATGTATGCCTGTTTCTTGCAGTTGGTGTAATGGACATTCTTAGAAACAACTTGATGAGTGACTCCTCTATCGATAAACCATATACTAAAACCTTACATGTGCTTCCTGCATTTGTACTTCACCTCTTCGGATGCCCCATCGTCCATGCGAAAAACGAAACCAACCAAGTTTCTCCAGTGACGCCTCACTTCCAGCATTCAGAGCTACATGACCATAGACACTCGGGCGACCTAATGAGGAGTCTTAGAAGGAGAACAGTTACAGTTGTAAAAGACTTACCACTTTCTACATAGTACATCCCCGGTCCCACTTCTCGAAATGGGCGGTTACTAGCTAGCAATATTCTCAAAAGGTGGTGCTTGCTGCTAAGCTCTGTACGGGAAGTCCCATAAGTGAATAGTACTTTGACCTTTTCGTGAATGGAAGGTTTCTGACTCCACCTGTCACCTAGCCAGTCATACACAATGTAGCTAAATTTGAAATCTCAGAGCTGTCATCGCTTTTGATCAGAAGCACTACTGAAGGAGCATTTGACAAAAGTCAAAAGCTTCTATAGTTTTTTTTCATTCTTCCAAGTCAATCTCTTACTAAGCTGTTCGTAACAGAAAGAAGAGCCAAAGACAGAACTAATACCATTTTCATAAAATCTCACTCTAGTAGCGCTGCAGTGTTGGGTTGAGTGAGTTCTAGCGCCTCATAAGTTCGATTCTCATAGACGTCTATCCGGACTTCGCAGCATGCCTTGCTTTGCCCCTCTGATGCGCACCCGTGGCTTGACTGTGGATAATGGTAGGTACGGTAGCACAACGCTCCTCCTTGGCATTTTCTAAATTTCACTGTATACCAAGGTAACATCTTCGTCAAAAATTTACCTATATTTGTGATTGTCGATGGTGCATGATTTGAACTTCGGACATTCGCAATTGCAGTAGGTGTTTAGAAATGGGATTCCAAATGTATAGTTCCCTCAAATTTCAACAAGGAAATTAAGATTTGCGAAAATCATCACCGACCTGCGACAGGGTAGCTCTGCAGCAATTTCGAATAGCGGATGACATGAAGAGCTATCGAACTGTTTTGCACCTCTAGGAAAAATGCATGAAGCTTATAACAAACATGTTGGCAATGCAGCTATGGCTGATTCTAAAAACTCTCTACTTTTTACTCGCAAAGTCCCTGCTTAGAACTTGAAGTTTTGTTTTGGTTCATTCAATACAACTTCGCTTTGCTTCAGAGCTAAGCTAATGGAGTTAAAAACAAATGGAATTCTTTCTAGTTGCGACTACAGCAACGTGGCAGATGACAACGATATCAAAATGACTATGAAGTGATGTTGTCCTGTAAAATAGATGTGTTTTCACTTTCTTCGAAAATTTGTAGTTCTTACCCCAAGCTGCAGACAAGCTGTATCTCCTAGTTTCATCGCAAGTTGTGTGGAGCTTCTTATAGTCGGATTGCCGTTGGATTCGTACTCGCGAACCTGAAAGAAAAATAAAATAATTAATAATATGCCGTGTTATGCCAAACCAGGTTTGTTGGTGGATCTCTTTATTAGACCTGACGGTTTCGACTTTCTCGTCTTCTTCAGAGGTCTGAACGAAGATCATAGGTTTATCTTGATCTGGACAATATACCACCAAGAGCCTCCTCTCACGCTTTGCCAGTCTAGACCTAGTCAGAAGCTAGCAACACGAGACCATGGAGGTTAAGAAACGAGCCGACCTTGAGTCCACCGCATTCCAGTAAGTCCGCACAGCTACTTAGTAACGGACGTCACTGAGTGTCACCCAGTGAGTCAATGCTTTTATGTGCGTCTGTTAGATGACATAACGATAGATACGGCAGAAGATCACTGCTAATCGACACACATTCATTTTTGACATTCATTTTTGGTTTCCTCGCGGAAATCCACGCTGCTTCAAGACATTTTCTTGCGCATATCTCAGTCTCATACGATAATATAGTGCATTTTACGATATAGTCATTTCCACCGTGCCTCTCAGTTTTGTGTCGCCCCAAAGGTGTCGTTAATACTCCTCGTCTTAATCCTGCTAGGTGTTCTTTTAGCCTTATGCCTAACATTCTACCCGTCTCTCCTATGTAGCATTCGTGACAGCTGAGACACTCTAACTGGTATACTACACCTGCCTTTGCACAGTTTCCCAACTTTCCATATGGACAGACAATGCATTGATTCAGGACGCATTCGTTATCGTATAGCCTATTCCGAACTAACTGCTTTTTCAAATTATCATTCGGGATGTCAACAAGTATAACATCATTCTCAAGTTGAGTTCGGTGTATGCATTGTCTTATCGCCGCGCTAAGTTTATCAGATAGAAACGGGATGCAAAGAGGTATTTTACCTTCGTTTCGCTCACGATTGTGCGTTTCAGACTGCGTTTTAAATTTGTGGCATTGTCTTTGTTGCACATAACCGTTGCTGCGCGCGATTTCCGATGCCAGTTTTCGTGACTCTAGCCGTTCCTCGTTGCCCGTGCACACAGCTGTAGCAGTTTTGATCATGTTGCGAATGACTGCTCGTTTCGTTGCTGCGGGGTGAGCTGAGTTGGCGTGGATCAGTATGTTCTTGGAGGTTTCCTTACGATACCACTTAACATGCAAAATACCGTTAGACAAACTGATTTGCACGTTCAGGTAAGGAAGCCATCCATTACGTGGTGTTTCTCGGGTCAGCCTGATGTACCGGGACTGTCGGTTCAAGATGTTGAAACACTCATCCATTTCGGCTTGAGTTGATGTTACCACATAACAGTCGTCGATGTAACGACAGTACATCAAAGGCATGCGCGCAAGCACTGGCTGTTCAATCCTACTCATGAAACAAACTGCGAGGACAGGCGCTAGGCGTTGGCCCATAGCAAGTCCTCGTGTCTGAGAGTAATAACTCCCAGACCACTTGAAGATGTTACATTTCATGCATGCTTGGATGAGGACCAGTACTTGCGTTTTGCTCAGCCCAAAGGTACTTATGGTGTTGATGTGCTTGTCCAACAACTCCGAAAGAGCCTGCAGTGCGTCATCGTTGTGAACATTGGTGTACAGAGAAGTCACATCGAATGACTCTATAATAGCACCTTGTTCAAAGTTCGTATTTCGCAGCTGCTCTAGGAATTGATGTGTGTTGGATAAGTGTGAAGGTACCTTGGGCAGAAGCTGACTTACGATCTTGTTGAGAAACCACGATATACGATCTGTAGGACCTCCAACACAGCTGATAATGGGCCGAATTTTGAAAATTTCGGGTGACATGGAGCTCAGATCGTGTGATGAAATTTTATGCGTCTTTATCAGGTGATAAAAGACCGGGCAATTTGGATTCTCTAATTTCAACCTGCTGACTAGTCGCTCATCGAGACCTGCACATCGTCCTACGCTAATCCAAATGTCATTGAGTCTTCGACATTGCGCCTGATAGTCCTTCTTAGTCGCGGGCTCGTAAACTGTCCTGTCTGCCAAATGCAGTTCAGCAATTTCTCTATCCAACGCCTGCGGTATCACAACGAACTCGCCACCTTTGTCACTTACAGAGATTCGGATAGTTTGCTTTGTTATAGCTTCACGCAGCTCTTTAAACCCTTGCCATTGATTATGTGTCAAATTAGTTTGCCGGTCGTGTTCAAACTTCCTTAACACTTCAAAAATTTCTAACGAAAGAGCGCGGAATTTGGTATCAGCAGCTAGGGAAGGCTCCGGTTCTTTATAGAAAGACCGAGGGAATGGCACCGTTGGTAATGTACTGCTATTCAGGGACAAAGCTAGCTGATGCTTGTTCTGCTGTTGTTCTCGAAGTCGTAGTGAGTCGCGTAAGCGGTACAAACTTCCAACTATTTTGCGGTAAACCGAGGAGTTCATAGTTTGCTTTGGTGAAAATGAAGGGCCGAGACTGAGAACGTTGAGAGCATGCGCCAATAACTGAATGTCGCCTAACACAGTGACTCTTGCCGTTTCTAGTTGATCTTGGTCTGAATTCTGGATGCGGGTTGTCGGTAAGCTGTTCAAAGCACTCTCATGTTTCTTATGTTGCCCACCCCTAAGTCGGTCGTACTTGAGACAAAGTGTAGACTTAACTCTAGATCGTATAGAATCGCAGATCGACCTCGATCCGCCCTCAATCCCCTTCCAAATTACATCTGATAAGAAACGCTTACAAACAATTTCCTTCGCATTACATTTCAAAATACTACTGTACAATAAACGCTGCCTTTCTCTGATAACAATATTCAGCATCAGCTTGTAAACATTCTGTATCTTCGGGTCATTATCAGGAAGGCCACATGTTCTTCCAATTTTCTTGTTTGAAATGAATGCCGGTAAGGTATTCTCTTTCTTACATCTTCGGAGGAAGCGGACGGATTGTCGCAACACCACGATCTTTTGGCGAAGAGGTAACGCTTCTCGCACCACGGAGAGCATGTTCGGCGGCACGTTAGTAAGTAGATTAAATGCTCTCTTATCTTCAAACCTGGGCATCTTGTAAAGTGTTAGTAATATGCCGTGTTATGCCAAACCAGGTTTGTTGGTGGATCTCTTTATTAGACCTGACAATTTCGACTTTCTCGTCTTCTTCAGAGGTCTGAACGAAGATCATAGGTTTATCTTGATCTGGACAATATACCACCAAGAGCCTCCTCTCACGCTTTGCCAGTCTAGACCTAGTCAGAAGCTAGCAACACGAGACCATGGAGGTTAAGAAACGAGCCGACCTTGAGTCCACCGCATTCCAGTAAGTCCGCACAGCTACTTAGTAACGGACGTCACTGAGTGTCACCCAGTGAGTCAATGCTTTTATGTGCGTCTGTTAGATGACATAACGATAGATACGGCAGAAGATCACTGCTAATCGACACACATTCATTATTGACATTCATTTTTGGTTTCCTCGCGGAAATCCACGCTGCTTCAAGACATTTTCTTGCGCATATCTCAGTCTCATACGATAATATAGTGCATTTTATATAGTCATTTCCACCGTGCCTCTCAGTTTTGTGTCGCCCCAAAGGTGTCGTTAATACTCCTCGTCTTAATCCTGCTAGGTGTTCTTTTAGCCTTATGCCTAACATTCTACCCGTCTCTCCTATGTAGCATTCGTGACAGCTGAGACACTCTAACTGGTATACTACACCTGCCTTTGCACAGTTTCCCAACTTTCCATATGGACAGACAATGCATTGATTCAGGACGCATTCGTTATCGTATAGCCTATTCCGAACTAACTGCTTTTTCAAATTATCATTCGGGATGTCAACAAGTATAACATCATTCTCAAGTTGAGTT